TAATCTATCTCTACCTAACCCCTTTGGTATAACCACCGTCCAAATAAACACAGTATTTCCAGAACTCCAGAAGGTTTTCCTGTGACACCCTCCAGTCAACCACCACGGCCCCAGAGACCCTTCCTTTTTCTGCCTTTTCACCACCTTTTCATCACTTTTCAAGCCTGTTCTTCATATGCCCTCACATACACGGGGCCACGCTGTGTGTTCTCTTCTGTGTCTGGCTTCTTTCGCCCAAATACGTCGTTCCTGAGGTTTATCCCCGACGTTACATGTAGTCGTGTTTTCTTCCCTATCTACCGCTGAGCATCACTCCAACGCACATTCGTGCCACGGTCACGGAGAACGGTCTCCAGGGGATGGACAATTGGGTTGTTTGCAGGCTGCGGCTTCTGTGGGCCAGCTTGCACGAACACTCTTAGCTATGTCTTTGCAGACATGGGCACATGTGCACACATTCCCCCTGGAATATAAATAGTGGGATGGCTGGGTCAAAGAACAGGTGTACGCTTAATTTCATTTGCTACTTCTGAACAGTTTTCTAAGGGGGTTGTACTACTTCCTGCTTCCTTCCTGACAAGCGCTCAGTGTTTTTCCTGATAGGTGCTCTTCTGTTCACACTCCCTTCTCGCCACAAAGCTGCTCCATCACCTTACACAAGTTTGTGGGTGCGAGCAAAGCCTTCACTGTGACCTGTGACCTCCAACTATTCTCACCAAAGGAGATAGGACGTCACTTCAGTGGTTATGCTACTGAAGAATACAACTGCCATCTTGACAGTGGGCTTTTTCTACCTTCCTTGTGCATTTGGATGATGATGTGGAATCCCTGTTTGGGGAAAAGCCCTCTTGGCAAGGAACCCAGGACCATCTCCAGCCAGCAAGGAACTGGCTTCTTCCAACAAGCATGTGGGCTTGTGTTGTATAATAAAGAATTTGGCTGGTCGTTGTCCCTGGCTCCCGGGAGCTAATCTCTAAGCGCTTGGAATCTATCTGTCACCCTTTTTCGAAGTTTATTTATTTATTTTGAAGAGACAGAGGCAGTGCAAGTAGGGAGGCGCAGAGAGGGAGAGAGAGAATCCCAAGCAGGTTTCGTGTTGTCAGCACAGAGCCCGATGTGGGGCTCAAACTCACAAACTGTGAGATGGTGGCCTGAGCTGAAATCAAGAGTCAGACGCTCAACTGACTGAGTCCCCCAGGGAACCCCTTGGATCTCTTGGGTACCAGTAGCATCTTTATTATTCACAGCAGGCACCTTGGGCCACACCTGAGTTTATGGCAGTGAGATGACTCAGGATGGGGGCTGGTGGTGCCAGAAAGACCACGTGATTACAAGGTTACAGCCTTGACCTCTGGGGATGAGAAGAGGCTGCAGATAGAGTCCATCATGTGGGCAATGCTGCAATCAATCATGCCTATGTGATGATATCCCCAAGAAAACTGTGCACACTGAGGCTCAGGGAGTTTTCTGGCTGGTGACACATCCTGAGACCATAGGAAGCTTTGCTTTTGGGGCCCTCCCAGGCTTCACCCTATGTGTCTCTAAATCTAGATGGTCTTGATTTATATCCTTTATAATAGAAATTGTAATAATAAATATAGTGCTTTCTGGAATTCCGTCAGTGGTTCTAGCAAGTTATTGAACCTCACAGAGTAGTGGGAATCTACAAAAATTTAGGTCATCTGTTCATGGGTGCAGGTGGCTCGGGAACAGCTGAGCACATAGCTGGTGTCTGCAGTGAGGACAGTCCTGTGGGCCCCTCACCCTTAGCCTGTGAAGTCTGTGCTCACTCTGGGTGACGCGTGTCAGAACTGCAGCACGGAAGTGGATCCTTCCCCAGCTGAGCTTCCGGATTAGACCCCAGCCCCGGCTGACTCGGCGACTGCAGGTCACAGACAACCCTGCTCAGCGATGCTTCGGCTCTTGGCCCCCAAAACAGTGAAATACTGAAGGTGTGCTAATTAAGCTGCTACCTTCAGGGTAATGCTGTTACACAGCAATAGATAACCGAAACACTCACACCATTGTGGGCATCATTCCACATAATGGACCCAAGACACAGAGACACCTTCACCACTGGCGGCTGGGGGTGGGGAGAGTCATGTGATTTTCTGGAAAGGAAATGGGCTTTGGAGACAGAGCTGGGTTCCAACTCCTGCACCTGCCTCTCCTACCTCTGTGTCTTTGTGCAAGGGGACCTGCCTCACTGCCTCTCAGGTTACATATTCCCAGTTAATTTGCCCCCACCCGCCAAATTTTACCAAGTACAATTTGGAATTTCGTCAAATACAATTTGGTAAAAAATAATGGTTCACCTATACCATGAAGTCAGCAAGTTGGTCAAAGTGTGGGTAAACTGGGATTTACATTAAAAAAAAATTTCTTTTTTTTAATTAGGGGTGTGTGGGTGGCTCAGTCAAACATTGGACTTTGGTTGAGGTCGTGATCTCATGGTTCGTGGGTTCGAGCCCTGCAATCTCATGTTTGTGGCTTTGAACCCCTTGTTGGGATCTGCACTGACAGTGTGGAGCCTGCCTGGGATTCTTTCTCTCTGCCCCTCCCCACTCACACTTTCTCTCTCCCACTCAAAACAAATAAATAAACTTAAAAAATTTGTTTTAAGTCCCGCCCAACTGGGCCAACCTCACTCTTTAGGAACACCATGCGTCTCTCTGCCTGCTTAGTTTATGGACTATAAAGCGCTTCATAGTTTGATTTCTAGGGGAAAACAATACAATTTCAATTGTATTTCAGTTTGCTGGTCCATCTATTCATATTTTTTTCTTTTTCTTGGATACAGAAAGAGAAAAAATTTATTTTTATTTTCAATTTTATTAAAAATATTTAAAATTTTTTTCTACCGTATTTTTTATTTTTGTAAATTTTTCAAATTCTATTTTACTTCCATCATTTCATCTTATTGTATTTCATTGTATTCATTTTTTCAAATTTTCAAACTTTGTCCTTTTTTTTCTTATCTTTCCATTTTTTCTCTAATCTACCAAGCTCCTTTCAACAACCAGACCAAAACACACCTAGGATCTAGCATCATTTATTTGATTTTTTTGTGTATTGTTTTTAATTTTCTAATTTTAATTTTTTTTACCTTATTAATTCCTTTTATTCTCTCAAAATGACAAAATGAAGGAATCCCTGCCTCAAAAGAAAGAGCAGGAAGAAATGACAGCCAGGGACATAATCAACACAGATATAAGCAAGATGTCTGAACCAGAATTTAGAATCACGATAATAAGAATACTAGCTGGGGTTGAAAATAGATTAGAAACCCTTTCTGTGGAGATAAAAGAAGTAAAAGCTAGTCAGGATGCTTTGAAGTAGGCCTCACGCCCAGTGTGGAGCCCAACGCAGGCTTGAACTCATAACCTGAGATCAAGACCTGAGCTGAGATCAAGAACTGGACGCTTAACCGACTGGGCCACCCAGGTGCCCCTGAGGATTTACATTTTTAAGTTGCAGCAGTGCATTTTCCTACCTAGAGACAAAATCAGTGAAGGAAGCAACAAGAAATGGAAAGGTGCCGTTTCGGACCTTCTGATAATTTCATTTCTTGGCTAAGTAACAGCCTGTGAGTCCCACACAGCTTTTCCAGGAGACGAAAGCGATCTTGGGTGCAGAGAGCACGGCGTCCCCTGAACCACTGTGCATCCTGAGGAACGTGGCTCAGTGGCCACACATGAAGGTTACTAGAGCACTGTGCTGTGAGGGTCGTTCCAGCAGGAGCTGGTCTGAGCTATTTGGCTGGCATGACGAGGTACCCCATGACACTGGCTTCTGGTCACGGAAGGAAACCTACTCACTCCTAGTGTTGCTCTGTGACCAGAGGTCCAAGGAGTCCCGGGGAGGTTTGTGACAGCTTCTCGCAATTACTTATTGGTAAACGTGAGAACAATGATTTATACCGGGTCCCGTGAGGCCCATCCAGAGGGCTCTGCCCCTGGGGCTGGCAACATGCCCATCATGGAAGAAGAAACCCAAGCCCAGGACCCGTTTTGGGTCTCCTGGTTCTGAGGTGCTTTGTGAACATACTGGTGGGTCCTGACCCAAGAGAGAAAGCCCATCTATGCAGCTGTGAGGAAGGAGAGAATTCCTTTTTGCCTGGGATACATACTCTCATTTTATTATTATTATTATTATTATTATTTTCAACATTTTTTATTTATTTTTGGGACAGAGAGAGACAGAGCATGAACGGGCGAGGGGCAGAGAGAGAGGGAGACACAGAATCGGAAACAGGCTCCAGGCTCCGAGCCATCAGCCCAGAGCCTGACGCGGGGCTCGAACTCACGGACCGCGAGACCGTGACCTGGCCGAAGTCGGACGCTTAACCGACTGCGCCACCCAGGCGCCCCTATTTTTTATTTTTAAGTTTATTTATTTTTATTTTTTTTAATGTTTATTTATTTTTGGAGGAGAGAGACAAAGTGTGAGCAGGGGAGGGGCAGAGAGAGAGGGAGACACAGAATCCCAAGCAGGCTCCAGGCTCTGAGCCATCAGCACAGACCTGATGAGAGGCTTGAACCCACGAACCGTGAGATCATGACCTGAGCCATGGTCAGACACTTAACAGACTGAGCCACTCAGGCGACCCTAGTCCTCAGCTCTTAAGACAGTGGACAATGTCCAGCAACCTGAGTGTTTGTCCAGCATTTTCCAGTATTCTCAACAGTGAAATATCTTCATCTTCTCTTAGGAATCCTTCAGGCTCACGCCCCAGGTACGTGGGGGGTCGCACGTCTGATGTGTGAAATCTGAAGACAGACAAGGACTGAGGACTTCCGTGAGTCAAATCCTTGAAGCTGGGCATGTGAGGAACATGTTGCAATCAGCAGCACTGAGAACGTTTCCAGAACGTAGCTGTGAAAGGAGGAACTTAACAGTTAGAGAAACCTTGTTCCTGCCCACACTCTGGAGTCGTGAGTGAGGTTGTGGCCGTCCCAGCTCCGCTCCCTCCCACGGGCTGCACAGCTGAAGACGTGGCTCTGGACAGGCTGGTTTGCTGCCATGATCCCTAGGCTACTCCCACTGCTCTGTCTCAGTAAGTCTCACGGGGCGACCCTAGAAAACAACAGACTCGGTAAGAGGTTTGGGCTGGGGATTGAAAGAGAAAACAAAAACATCAGCCTTGGTTTATTGAGCACACACTATGTATCAGAAATCTTGCCGAGTGCAATCAATGCACACATTACTTCTAAACTGGTGCTTTACAAATTTCAATGAATGTTCCAAGTTCATGATTCTGCAGAAAAGCCTTTGCTACCTGTACTTTATTGGCTTAACGTGTTTTTTTTTTTTAATTTAAAAATAATGTTTAAAAAAAACAAAAAACAACAACAACAACAAAAAATGTTTATTTATTTTTGAGAGAAAGACAGAGCACAAGTGGGGGAGGGGCAGAAAGAGAGGAAGTCACAGAATCCGAAGCAGGCTCCAGGCTCTGAGCTGTCAGCACAGAGCCCGATGCGGGGCTCGAACTCACGAACCATGAGATCGTGATCTGAGCCGAACTTGGACGCTTAACCGACTGAACCACCCAGGTGCCCCGGCTTAACGTGTTTTGTTTTTAATACTGACTTAGCCTTTTGTACCTAAATAAAAGTGCTTAGGAAAGAAACTTTCGATACTATGAATGAAAATCCAGGTCGGGGCACCCGGTGGTTCGGTTGGTTGAGCATCGGCTCTTGGTTTTGGTTCAGGTCATGGACCTCATGGTTTATGGGATTTGAGCTGCGCATCAGGCTCTGCACTGACAGCATGGAGCCTGCTTGGGGTTCTCTCTCTCTCCCTCTCTCTGCCTCTTCCCCACTCAAGAACACACAGACCCGCGCTCGCTCTCTCTCTCTCTCTCTCAAAATAAATAAATAAACTTAAAAAGTCCAGGTCAAATACAGAAACTATAAAGTAAATGCAGCGAGAAGGAAACAGTATTAGCATTCTCTAACTATACGCTGGTCCTTGTCAAGCTTCTGGGCCTGAGAGCTGCTAGTTCTCTGCTATGGAGGCAATTAGCCCCCATCCAGGTATGTCAGAGGCTAGCCTCAAGGAGGCTCTCTTGGTGCTTACTGCATACAATCACGCAGAGCTTGGACTGTCCTTCCTTCTGCCTCGAACTCATCACGTCTAACACTGATGGGACATATTCCACACTTGGGCTGGTCTCCACCCCTCAAAAAATAAAAACAACACTCCCCACAACACAAACCCTGCAAGAGAGGACGAGGTCCACGTCTGCAGATTAGGAATCCAATCTGAGTCTGCAGAGTCAAGTGCCTTGTCTCGGATCGCACGGGTGGTATGCAGGGAAGCCAGATCTCAACCCAGAACCGCCGGGTTCTAAAAACGTTTCCACTCAGCCAAGATGTTGAAGTAAGAGGGACACACACACATGGGGTCCTTGGTATGGAGCACTCTAGGAGTGTCTGAAAGGGTTTCGGGGTTGGAAACCCCTGAGGAGGCAGAGACGTGTGATTCAGAATGTCCCCAGCGATGGACCAGAGACCAGAACTGGTCTCCAGAAACCAACAAAGCTTGATATCCACAAACAGAAAGGGAGGACTCACGTCAGCATGGCTCTTTGCACTTGGCTTCCTGCCATCGCCACGGATCTCTGATCCCAAGACTTCAGGCTTGCTTGCAGAGGGCCCCTTATGTCAGAGGCTCGTCGTAGGAAGACACGCCCGTCTGTGTCCAAAAAAAAATATGTCTACTATTCCTTGTATCGTTCATTCTCCTCTGGCTGGGTTAGGCACAGGTCCCACTAGCAATGCCTTCCAGAGATCGTCTCCGGATACATGTCTGAAATCTTCACTCCTTTTGACGGCTGAGTACTATTCCACTTATATATGGATCTCATTTTGCTTCTCCATCCGCCTGTTGGTGGGTGCTCTGCCTCACTGCAGTGAGATAAACTTTTTTCCATGTTTGGCTTTGAGAGTGAGTGAGTCTCTCCTAAGAGGACTTCCTCTTGCCTCCATAAGCAATGAGGCCTCTAAGCAAGTGTCCTGCTCAAGACAGGGGTGAGATCAGATGAGATGTGCCGGGGCCTGGGGCCGAATGATAAACCCCACATGGCCTGAAGGTGTGTCCAACCACCATCTACCAAGTTCCATCTCCTTCCTGCTAACAGAGCACAGGAGGCCACTGAAGCGATTAGGCCCATGTTCTCCTTTTTTTTTTTTTTTTTTTTTTTTACCCTGTGTGGACCACCAGTTTTGTGTCTCAGAAGTAAAAAGGGAGAAACTACCAGTTTTTTGTGTTTTTTTTTTTAGTTTTTTTAACGTTTATTTATTTTTGAGACAGAGAGAGACAGAGCATGAACCGGGGAGGGTCAGAGAGAGAGGGAGACACAGAATCTGAAACAGGCTCCAGGCTCTGAGCTGTCAGCACAGAGCCCGACGCGGGGCTCGAACTCACGGACCGCGAGATCATGACCTGAGCCGAAGTCGGACGCTTCACCGACCGAGCCACCCAGGCGCCCTGAAACTACCAGATCTTTATGCTAAAACTGCCTCCCTCCCTCCATAGTTCTCTGATCCCAAGACGTCAGGCGGCCCCACAGAGCGATCCTTACATCACCTCCTTACCTCCCTCAAAGGTGTTTGGGACTGAGTGTCTTGAGGAGTGCAGGAGGGGGCTGAGGGACACAGGGCTGGCACTGCAAAGGCTCTGAATTTTCACAGGCCCCGAAATGTGCCGTGAGGCAAGACAGAGCACACGCCGACTTCTCTGTCCTAATCGCAATCCCCTTGTGAGCTGTCCCATGCCATCTAGAATTTATTTTTTCAGACTCCCACTTTGTCTGGCATCGGTGAGAATTTTCTTTTCAATACCGTAAACACACCCATTATGTTCTGCTTTTTATTACGTTAAATATATGTAAATAATATTGATCCTCTTAACTCTCTGTAAGTATACATTTTGGTGGCATTTCAGTGCATTCACAATGATGTGCAACCTTCACCCAAAACGTTTGTCATCCCCGACATAAACTCTGTACTCGTTCATCAATACTCCTTTCTGCTTCCTCCCCAGCCCCCTGATAACCATGAATTTGCCCATTCTAGCCAGGTACTTTGTGTCAGTGGAATCACACAGTAATTGTTCTTGGGTGTTGGGCTAATTTCACACAGCAAAGTGTCATCCAAGTCCACTCATGATGTAGCATCTATCAGCATTTCATTGCTTTTAATGCTTACTTATTTTTGAGAGAGAGAGACAGAGTGAGAGCAGGGGAGGAGCAGAGAGAGAGAGGGAGACACAGAAACAGAAGCAGCTCCAGGCTCTGAGCTGTCAGCACAGAGCCCGCCGTGGGGCTCGAACCCACGAACTGTGAGAGCATGACCTGAGATGAAGGCAGATGCTTAACTGACTGAACCACCCAGGTGCCCCAGCATTTCATTCCTTTCAAATGGCAGAAGAGTATTCCACTGTCTGTACAGACCACAGACCTTTCCTTTATCCACTTATCCTTCACTGGATGCTTGGGTCTTTTCATGTTTTGGCTATTTATCACTTTTTCTTTCTTTTTTTTTTTTTTTTCAAAACGTGGGATGTAGTATTTTTGATTTCCCCAGACAATTTTAGCACAAAGGCCTGGTAACTTCCCCCTTTTCATGACTAAGACACAAAACTGGTTCACACAGGGAAAGAAAAGAAAGAAAGAAAGAAAGAAAGAAAGAAAGAAAGAAAGAAAGAGAGGAAGAAAGAAAGAAAGAAACAGGAAGGAAGGAAGGAAGGAAGGAAGGAAGGAAGGAAGGAAGGAAGGAAGAGGGAGGGAGGGAGGGAGGGGAAATCTCTTAAGTATCTGTTGACTTAGAGCAATCACTCTCTTCCAATAAATTCTGTAAACAGGCTTGATGTTATTTTTTGGGAGACCTTAGAACTCGGACAAAACGTGTCTACCACATTTGGGCATTAACAGCAGGATGTCTGTGGGTGCTCGGAGATACACATAATAAATAACTGTCAATTGCAAATTTCTTTCTAAGTCAACGGATTTTTTTTTAAGTTTTTATTTTTGAGAGAGACAGACAGAGTGCGAGCGGGGGAGGGGAAGAGAGAGAGAGAGGGAGTCACGGAATCCGAAGCGGGCTCCAGGCTCTGAGCTGTCAGCACAGAGCCCGACGCGGGGTTCCGACTCATGGACCAGGAGATCATGACTGCAGCCAAAGTTGGACGCTTAATGGACTGAGCCACCCAGGTGCCCCTGGCATAGAGCAGCCTTCAGCATGGGGTGGGGAGGGGTTCTTCTGGCACCAGTGAGGCTGTCTGCAGACTGTCAGGCCCACTCAGGGTCTCAGACAAGATCAGAGGTGGCCCAGGGTCACATTCAAGTCCCATGCTTCCTGATCTTTCTCAGGGTTCCTGCCTTCTACATCCAGGGTGAATTGGTGGGGGCCAGTCGGGGGGATGTTCAGGAACTGTAACACCAGCCTGACAGAAATGCAAGGACCTGTCCGTGATAGAGGCTGAGAATCCAGGGGTCTGTGGACGTTTGTGAAGCCAGGAGAGCCCCTGGAGTGGCAGGTGGCATCCAAAGAGGAGCCCTTCTGTGGGAAATGGGGCAGGAGCAGAGGGCGGAGTGGAAGCCTGGGTCCAGCATGGGAAATGAGAACCCCAGATGCGTGACCTCCAGGGTCTGGTCTCAGTGGCAGCACCCCCCCCCCCCCCGGGGAGGTCCCCTTGAGACAGGGCTCAGGTCTCACGGACAGACGGTTCTCTTGCAGGGCTGTGCGCTGGCCAAGGAAGCAGGGGGACTGATGGTGAGTGTTCCTTCAGTTAAACCCTCCCTCTCCTTCGCTCCAAATTCCCCGCATCCCTTCTCTTTCCTTCAAGGGGTTTCCTGACAGCAGGCGAGGGCACCAAATCCTGTCCCCAATCTGCTTCCTTCCAGAGCCCCTTCCCAAGCCCACCCTCAGGGCCTGGCCCAGCTGGGTGGTGCCTCCCAGAAGCAATGTAAGGCTGCGATGCCAGACCCCGACCAAGGATGTCGACTTTGTTC